GACTCGGTGCGTTCTACATAGTCTCCCTGAGCACAAGACCAAGTTGCGACAACGAGGTCAACCCACTTCAGGGGCTTTAGCCTCAAGTTAGTCTCCCAGACGAAGAGTGTGGGAAATAAGGCCTCGAGTAGTACAGACGGAGGGGCAGGTGTGAGTGAAATACTTGAACCATGGAGATAGCAGACGGATCCCACGGAGGAAGAAAAAAAACTCTGATAATAACTATGAAAGAAGGACGGCGTAACAATAGGACAGACTTTGAGCAACATTCCCAGGACAGGGGTGAAGGAAGATGGTGGGGTGAGAAAGCCAGAGTGGAGTGTGGAGGGTTGCCATGACTTCCGATCAAAAGGGCACACCATAACGCATTTAAATAAGCAAATAGAAAAGTGTGATAGTGAAGGCGTGATGCGAAGATATAGGATTGGTGATTAGTATTGCACGAAAGGAAAGATACCACAATTGTTTAGCAGACAATTGGTCAACGAATCGGCTTGATTTGTCTCTTTAACGAGATGTATTATGGTGCTAAGAGTGGCAAAACTCACTTACGATGCCGGTGAAACGTCTGGGAATATATCACGTTCACGGTCCGACTCTGGAAATTATCATGCATACAATAGACTCCGGACTAGGTGCGTTCTTATAAGTCTTTCTACAAATATGACCAAGTGGGAAAAACAAAGTATGAATTATTCTCTGAAGCCCTGCTTTAGAATGTGTAACTAGCTCTAATTCTAAAAATAATATAAAGCGCTTACCATTTAAAAACAATGAATGAATTAAAGAATTGGCTAAATAAAATGAAACTTTGGTGAAATTACAAACCTGGGACAAATTAGATAGGAAATCATGAAGTGCTTCACTGGTCAATTCATAACCATCGAGCCAGATAGCACGTAGCCGACCAAGCCCAAAAGCGGGTCCTTCTTTGAGATAATGAAGTGAGGCATCAGAGAGCCAGTTTACTCCATCAATGTTTAAGCGCTTGAGGTGTGATAGACCCAAGGAAAGATGTCTGATGCAAAGATCAGACAAACCAGGGCAATGGGAAAAATTTACAGCCTCTAAAAATGGGCAGCGATGTACAAGAGCGCCGACGAATTCCACCTGTTTAAATTGAAGTATTTAAATAATTGTTGTCACATAATAAATAAATATTCATCGATAAAGTACCTCACAAGTTTAAGTGTCTGAATGCATTAAACACGTATATATAAACGAAAGAATAAAACAAACGTTTAGGCCTGAGAGAAGCCACAAAATTACTAGTTAAATGAATATGAAATAGCTCACATCAACCGTTTTGACGGCTTCCAGATTTATATGCTTCAGCATTTGTGGAGCATTAAGATAAAGTTTTGATGCACTTTCTGACGTCAATTCGCAGAAGCCAAGATCCAGACATTTCAAATGTGGGCAGCATTGTAAGACAGCTTCTATTACCAAGTTTATACATTTAAGAGATGGACAACGGAAGATACGCAATAGCGGACGGCTAGTAATGCCAAAAAGCAAAGTATCGGGGTCCACGAAAGGCTTTACAATGAGTCTTTTGAGGAGAATGGGGTCCTTGCATATTAAGTACCAGTAGCGACAAACGGATGGTATTCTCCAATGAAGATCTGCCGAAGGCAATTGGCTAAATATGAGAATCAATATCTCTGGGGGAAGCTTCTGAACAAGAGCTTCTGTCTGACAAGAAGATGAGGATTTAATATCATTTAGAGATTCGTTTAAAATAGAAAGAGAGGCCTTAACTTCATCGTTTTGTTTACTTTGAGGTTCTCCATAAAGTGTATCTGATAATTGAGATGAAGAAATAATAGTTTGAACTTTTAAAGGTTTGGAGTTGCCATCAAAGGAAATTTTTCCTCTGTTTAAAATTAAAATGACACAGATCAATTAAATTTAAGAAACCCATAAGTAAAATCGTTTAGCTTTGATGCATAATCTTATAATTAAGGCCTGGCGATAATGTTGCTAACATATAAGATAGGCCTTCCTGAGAAGAAGGGCAAGCATCTGGGATTTTAAGGAATGTAAGTTGGGTAGACAGATACTTAAACACATGCGAGGCCTTGGGTGTTCAAATGCGA